AGTTTATTGAGTTCTGAACCCAGGAGAAGTTTTCAAAGCGAGAATAACAATAAGCATGTATGAATTTTTGCACTGGTCCCACCATGCCTGGTAAGAGGCTTGGGTGGATACTATTCACTCCTGGCCCTCTGTCCCCACTGCCAGCCATCTTACCTAACAGTTGTATCTTCCTTTGTAACTCAGCTACTTGTGTTTGTACAGGAGGCTTCACTTCACTGGGGTAGAAAGGTCCCAACTTGGAATGGACAGGGTACCAGGCCCGGGACGCACCCTTGTTTCTGGGGTGACCAGTCTTGGTCTGAGGCTGACTGCCTTTGACCTTGGATGAGGGCGTCGATACTTGGTCTTGAGCAGTCAGAATGTTGGCAGAGGCCGCTCTGCATAGAGGAGATGCCATGATTAGGTGGGGGCCAAGAGCCCCTAGGGGTTAAGGGGCGCGACTAGGGGTCGATCTTATCCAGGATCCAGTACGTGTTCCTCCGGTTCAGGGTTGCACTTTCAGACCGCTTAGCAGGGCCTCGCTGCATATCCCGGTTGCTAGGTAACTGCTTCCCCCTCCTCCCTCCAGAGCGCTCCCAAGGAAACCGCCTGCCTTTCTCGCTGCCACTCTCATTGGCTGACGCTACACGGAGGAGGCGGTCCCAACAGGAGGCGGGGCAGAGCAGTGCAGAAAACTCGTGTGTGTGTGTGTGTGTGTGTGTGTGTGTGTGTGTGTACTTTGATGTCACGTGTTCATCTTATTTCCCTTGCGCGGGCATTTTGAAGAAACTGGTGTGGTGTTGTAGGATCAACACTGGACTGGGAACCACAAGGTCGACAGTTCAAACCCACCAGCTGCTCCTCCGAAACCCTATACAGGATCGTTGAGTCGGAAGCGACTCCACAGCACTTAATAACAACAACCCCAGAAGCAGCCACTCTCAAGATGGAGGCTCCTGGCGCCGCCATTAAGCGCGAGCCTTCAGACCTAGCCTTCTAAAGCTACACAGTCCTACCCAAGATGGCCGTCTCAGTTCGCGAGGCCGCCTTATGCCACTCCCAACATGGCGTCCCAGAGTCGCCACTCAGAGAGCGGTATGGAACCGGAAGTGACGTGTTTTAGACTTTTCCGCTTTCTTTCTGCTGCAGGAACTGTGGCCACTGGGCCAGGGGGGCGCGGTGGATATTGACCTTTGGCCCCCGCCTCGTGTAAGTGATTAGAGGGCGGGAGGCCTCCCCAATTTCCTATAGAGGGCGACCGGAGGGAGCTTTGTTGCGGGGAGACTATTAACCCCTTAGGCCTGTTAGAGGGAATTGGATAGCCCGCTCCCCTTCACAGGGAACGGAGATTTTGAGATTCCTACTCTTGATTTGAGCAAAGTGACACTCTCTTTCCCGGGTCTATCGGAAGCAAAGTGAGCCCCCATTGCCCGTGAGCAGTAGAGGGATCGAATTGGCTGGAGGAAGGGGCGCCTTCAGCTGGTTCTGGCCCTCTTTTTGTCTTGCGCAGCGTGCAGGAAAGTGCACGTCTCCGTGGTCTTCCTCCTACAGAATCCGCTTCCGGCCTCGGAACCTCTGGGGAGATGTTGCTGCTGCCGTCGCTGCTGCTGCTGCTGCGCTTCTGCTGGGCTGTGGAGGTCAAGCGGCCCCGAGGGGTCTCTCTCTCCAGTGAGTGGCCCTGCTTACCCACCCCCAGGCTGCAGATGGGGTAGGGCATGCGGGGGGGCACCCTTAGGTACCAGGGATAGACTCTTCCAACCTTTTGCTTCATTTCCCAGCCTCTGAGGAGGGAAGGTGGTAGTGCTCTGCGGGTGGGTGGAAGGCGCAGGGGATAGTCCTGCCCTGGGATAACCCCTTTCCCTTCTCCCCAGACCATCACTTCTACGACGAGTCCAAGCCTTTCACTTGCCTGGATGGCTCTGCCACTATCCCTGCCGACCAGGTCAACGACGATTATTGTGACTGCAGAGATGGCTCTGATGAGCCAGGTGAGCTTTTTCTCCATTGGTTCATCCGCAATTTCTTGTGCACCTGCTAAGTACTAAGCCCTGTGCTAACAGGGACCTGGCCCACCTTGCCGTTACCTGGTGCCCGGTTGAGTGGGGAAAAGTGTGTGGTCAGCGTTACGACAGGGAGACTCAGGGACCCCCATTCAGTCTGGGATCAGAATGGCTTCAAAGAGGAATCCTGGAGGGTGTTGTAGACACCCAGAGGTGGGAGAGAGGATAAAACAAACGGCGTTCTGGCCAGGGACCAGAGGTGTTGGTGGCAGCCCTGATTTGAAGGCCTCAGTGAGAGAGGCAACGAATGCTGCCGAGGTCTCTTTCTGCGTTGGCGATCGCAGGTTCTATCTGTGACAGATGGGGCATGCCTGGCCCTGAGGTGACTTAGCAAACCTCCCTCTCCCACCCCCGCAGGCACAGCTGCCTGTCCTAACGGCAGCTTCCACTGTACCAACACTGGCTACAAGTCCTTGTACATCCCCTCCAGCCGAGTCAACGATGGGATTTGTGGTGAGTGAAGGCTTCCCAGGGAAGGGGGAAGGGACAGCGGTGCAGCGAAGGAGGAGGCACTGCTAGACCTGACGGCAGCCGCCTCTGCCTTCAGACTGCTGTGATGGGACAGATGAGTACAACAGCGGCGTCGTCTGCGAGAACACCTGCAAGTACGTGGGTGACCACCTCTGCTCTTCCCCCTCCCCTGCAGTGAATCAGGTCCCCTCTCATTTCTGTTTTTGTGTGTCACATGCTTACTCAGTGCCAGGTACTGTGTGAGCCCGTCACCACTGAGTGTTCCTCTGGTGTGGGAACAGGTGTGGCCTTTTCCATATTTAACAGATGAGAACACTGAAGCTCAGAAAGGAAAATGGCTTCCCCAGGGTCACATGGCTGGGCTGGGCGCTAGCTGGGCAGGGGCTATTGCCTTGCTCTGCAACAGAACCTGGCAGTGTAAATGCTTCCAGATAGATCCTCTGAGCTGCAGAAGTGGGTCCCCTTCTGAGGCAGGCGGGAGTGCCTCAGAATTGAGGATTAGGGTATCTCTAGGAACAACTGCCTTCCCCTTCTCTATTGCTGATGGTTGAGGGCAGGGCTGAAGTCTTCCTCAGAAAAGCCCCAAACTCTTCTGATTCCGGATCTTATAAGTAGAGGCCCCACCTCCCAGCACTCCCTAATCTTTCCCCTTACCCCAAGGGTGGCCAAAGCCGCCTCCTCAAGGACCAGCATGAAAGGTACTGAGACCAAGAGAGCCTAGTGGGACAGTTATTTCACTGTGTCTCAGCCTTTTCCAGTGTGTGTGGCCAGGTGGGCTGAGCCCTTTGGGAAGAGGCAGACCTGGTGGGCCCCAAGTGCCCCCTAGTGGTAGCCTGTGTACCCCTCACACCCCTACCCCAGAGAGAAGGGCCGAAAGGAGAGGGAGACTCTGCAGCAGATGGCGGAGATTACCCGTGAGGGGTTCCGCTTAAAGAAGACCCTCATTGAGGACTGGAAGAAAGCTCGGGAGGAGAAACAGGTGAGGGCCTCCCAGGGCTGACCCCAGCGGGCCTGGAGGTATGGACTGATGGGCAGACAGAGCTGAGTGGGTTTTACACCGGTCCCCAACTGGCGCTGTCCTGGGGCCAGTTATTGCGTGTCTGCACCTTGGTTAGCTCTCATTTGTCTATTGGGGATGTGGTCATGGGTCGAGTGGGAGTAGTTGTCACAGATGTTGAATGCAGAGTCTTGGACATCAGACTGAACAGGGCTGGGAAGAGCTGACACTGCTGGGGGATAGAGGGACACGTTGCATCATGGTCCCCATCTGAAGGTGCTGTTGAGGTCCGTAGGGTGGGCACTTAAGGAGTCAGAAGAGGATGTGCCTCCAAGCATGTCTCTCTCCTTTGCCCACTACCCCTTGGTCCTCACTATTGCTGCTGGGTTTCCGCCTGACCCACTGAACAAAGATTCCAACTCTCTTTCCGTCTGGGAAGATTCCAGGTCTCTTTCCCTCTGGGAAGACTCTGGGTCTCTTTCCCTCTGGGAAGATTCCAGGTCTCTCTTCCATTCCAAAGCCCCTTCCATGTTGAGGGAGTGTAGTGGGTGGGTGGTACAATGGGAGGGAGGTCAGCTCCAAATGGCATTAACCTTCCTGGAGAGGGGGATGGACGCTGGTAGGAAGCCCACTGAGGTGTTGACCAAGGTCTTGGGAGGAAAGCAATCCCGAGGGGGCCCAGACTTGGCAGAGTGGCCAGACCTAGACTAAACTTGGGAGCCACATTGTAAGGTGGGAGCCCACCCACTGTACACATTTCCTTCTTGGTGAAAATATCCTCAGAGACTGGGCTGGGCAGAAGTCTGGGACTACACCTGGACTTGCCTCAAGTGCAGATTGTCTAGTGGAAGGGACAGACAGACAGTGACACCCAGGGCTCCTGTGAGAGGGAAAACTCGAATAAGAGGCAGAAGGGGCTCTTGCCCTATACCCCCTACCCCTCCTGTCTTGAGGGTAGGCGGAAGAGAAAACTTGAGGATGAGACATGTAGCTAAGCTGGAATCTGTAGGGTATTTTGGCGTTAGCCAGGGGTAGTGTTCCAGGCACAAGGAACAGCATGTACAAAGAGCTAGAGACGAACCTTTAGGGGTCTGAATGTTGTTTAGGTTACTTAGAACCTAGAGTGAGATAGGGAAGGCCTGATGGGTTGGAGAGGTGGGTAAGGCCTTGTAGGATGTGTTGAGGTGTTTGGGCTTCTCTCAGGAGAACTATGAACAACCCTGGCTAGGGAGAGACCCAGTGAGGTAGGTGTTTTGGAAAGAGCCTGTAGACTGCCCTGTGGAACAGAGGCAGGGAGGTAGTAAATGATGAAGAGGAGGCTGAACAGAAGTACAGCTGGCCTCTTGCCTTCTTCCCACCCAGAAAAAGCTCCTTGAGCTACAGGAGGGGAAGAAGACCCTGGAGGAGCAAGTGGAGATGCTGCGGATGGTGAAGGAAGAGGCTGAGAAACCCGAGAAGGAGGCTAAAGAACAGCACCGGAAGTTGTGGGAAGGTAGGCTGTGGTAGGGCAGCCAGAGTACTCACCCTTTACTTCTGGACAGCAGGGGAGGCCTGGGCCCAGGAGATGCTTGCTCATTATTGGTTGAATTTTGTTCCAAGTGGATTTTGATCATGGTTCCTTATTTCCTTTTCTGCCGAGTTTTCTTTGTGTTGGCCATTGTATTTGAAAATTAGTTGGGTAGTAACTTATGGCTTGGAATCAGGGGTCTTTCTAGAGAGAGGTCTTTTCTTTTTCCCAGGTACTTGGAAACACTACCATTTAGGGACCTCTCTCTTAGTCCACATCCAAGACTTGAGGTTCCTCAGACCTCTCAGGCAGTGTGTGAACTGAGAGCCTCTGAACAGACCAGGCGGTTTATGGCTCAGCCGAGGCCGGAGGGGATACTCCCTGGACCACAGCTTAGTTATTGGGGTTGGGGGTTGGGTTCTTGAATTGGTTTCCAACCTTAGACTTCCTTTGATTTCCGTCTTCCTTGCCCCATGAATTCTTATTAAAACAGACACCCAAAATTTGCAGGATTGGCAAAATTTCTTAGGGCAAAGGAAGCATCCTGAGTTCCTGAGTTCCTGCTATGCTTCAGCCGTTCCTGTTGCCTGGTCTGTTCCTGGTTAATCTAAAGGGGGTGATTTTTTGTTTTTTAACTTTTTATTGTGAATTGAATGAAGGTTTACAGAACAAATGATCAGTTTAACATCCAACAAACCGTATACTTTTTTTTTTTTTTTTTCATTACAATTGGCAATTCCATCCATGTACTTTCAGTGAACAGAATTTACCTGTCTTCACTTTAAGGGGGATGATTTTCACGTTGATGATTTTGTTGTTGGTGTGGAGGTGACTGGGGACCCCACATGTTACAGAATAGAGCTACTCCGTAGGGTTTTCTTAGCTGTCATGCTTATGGATGACCAACCCACCCGTTGCTCTTTGCAAACCCTATACAGCGTTGCTATGGGTCCAGACATAGGTGCATCTCCAGGCCCATTTCTGCCTTGGTGCCTGGGTTTGAGAAGATGTTTCTTTTATGGTTTCTTAGGATTTCTTGTTGTTGGTGGCTTGTGCTGCCATTGCTGTAAGTCTGAAGGCTTGTCCCTCATTCTCAGTCTGCTTCCTCAAGGGGCAGGATAGAAAGGGGAGGTGGGTGGACACCCCCTCAAAAGTAGTTAAAGGACAAGGCATTACTGAAAGGATTTGGAGCTGTGGCGTTAGTTACTTGTTGGGTGGCCCTGAGGAACCAGGACCACCCCCTCTCTGAGGCCACGTGGCTGAGCTTCCTCATCTCCCCAGGCATCTGTTGTGCTCTTCCGTCCCTCCTCCTGCCAGCTGGCTCTCCCCGAGTTCTCAAAACCAGTAATTCATCCAACAAGCATTTACTGAACACCTGCTATGTGGTAGGGACACACCAGGTGCCCACAGTACAGCACTGACCAAGATGGGCAAAGCCTCTGCTTTACTGTCAAGGGTGGGAGGGAGGGAGCAAGCCAGACAGGGAGCTGGCATGAAGGCCTGTTTTTTTCTGTATTTTTGAGAGGTAGTCATAGGTGCATGGCTCCCTTTTACCAGCCGTGTAATATTCCATGATCTGTTCTATTGAGAGCCATTCTGTTCAGCTGCCATTTTTTCTGTTAGGTTGTTGGTGTTTTTTTTCATCACCTGTAAGAGTTTGTGATGCATTAAGGGGTTGGCGTTTTTTTTTTTTTTTAAGAGCTTTTTAGGTTACACGGCAGATCATCAGTTTGCTTGCTTTTTTTAAAAAGTTTTTATTGTGAATTATGTGATAGTTTACATGGGAGAACATTAGCTTTACATTCATCCTATGGTATATCGTTTCATTGCCATGGTTACAATCCCCTCCATGCATCATCAGCCAACCAAAGGGTATACCCCACAAGCCTGCCCCTCAGTCGTCAGCACACAGCTCCTTTCCCTCTCTGGGTCTAAAGTCTCCAGCCGCTCCATCTCTCCACGTCATCATCTCTGCCTCCATCTCTGGTGTCACTGCTTCTCTGAGTAGGGTCCCGCTCTCCGCTCTTCTCCCTTGATATGGTCCCAGGGACCTCAGCTCCTGGCCTGCAAAGTCAATCATCCCCCTCCTTTTGCTACAAAACGTCTACCTTTACATTTCCAACCCTCACAAGCAGTCCTGATAACAACTATTCACTATTGTATCACAAGAGACCTATCCCTATCTCCTTTCATCAGCCCCGCCCTCTGGATCTAGGCTCCCTCTTGACAGCTTGTATGCCAGTCACTTCTTGCCTTTGTAACTGCCATGCTACCACGTATCCTGGGCACTCGTTTGCCAGGCCATGTCTTAGCAGTTGAATTCACAAGTCTTCTCTGAAAGGATTCCATGAGCTTCCTTTCACCTGGGTTGTGGCAAACTCATGCCCAGTTTTCCTTTGGAGACATTCTCAGTGTAGAGCTGCTGAGCCTAAGGGCACGATATCACATCTTGACCCAGATTTCCCAAAGGGAAGCCGAGAAGCTCAGGGCCGGGGGCCGATGGCATGACTCTGCCTTCTAGTGGACTAGTGGACAAGTCTCTTCTCCCAACACGCCTTGGTCCTCGCATCTGTGAGAGGAAAGTGGTCAGCTGGGTCTGTAGGGGTGTGGTGGGATCTCACAGGTGACCCACAGCTCTGCCAGCGCTTAGGAAATGCTGAGCCAAGGCCTGGCAAACAGGAGCTTAATAATGGCTGCCTTCCCCCTCTTCCCTGTTGGGTGGGGATGAGACAGGCAGAGGGGGATCTCAGTGAGTGTGGCCTCTTCTCTCAGAGTCCCCAGTGGGCTGGCCTCTCTCTGAGACCTCCCCCAGGGACCTCTGCAGTGCCATTTACCTGGTCTCCTCTTGTCTCCTCTGACTCCCCTGCTCCTTGCTTGTCTGCCCTGGGTAGAGCCCTTCCCCTAGCTCCAGTCCTGCCATTCCTTCAGGCCTACGGCTTGGGCGATGCCTCCCTCCCTCTTGGCTCACCCTCCTCTCACCTGTCTACCACTCTGCCCTGACCTCCTGGCTCCCCCTGACCCCCTGGTCTAGTTAGGCCCCACTCAGAAGTCTCTGGATCCCACTTCCTGGAAGCCCCCCACGTCTTTGCTCAGATGGCCTGTATACAGTACACACTTGCTTCTCCCCTGGTGGCTCCTCCTAGAAGCCCCTTTTCCTGACCCTTCTGAGCCCTGCATTCGCCCCCTGCCTTCTGCTGTAGGGGTCCCTGGGCCCCATCCCTCACTAGTGTCTTGTCTGTCCTCCCCGACTGCCCTCAAAGGGCAGTGATGTTTGTCCCTCTTGTCCACAGGGTAGGGTCCTCAGGGGTGAGTGGTCCTGTGGGGTGTTGGGGTACTGGGAGCAGGCCAGGCAGAGACTGATGGGCTGGCCCCTCCACAGAGCAGCAGGCTGCTTCCAAAGCCCAGCACGAGCAAGAGCTGGCGACCAGCGCCTTCCAAGAGCTGGACGATGACATGGATGGAATGTGAGTGTGCCCACCTACTACCCTGCCTAGGCCTGGGTCCCGTCTTCCAACCCAGCCTTTGGAAACCGGCCCAAGACTCCCCTCCTTGCTGTGGGGCACCTGACCTCCCAGGCGCCTCATGCCAGGGCACAGTGGTGTGGGTCCACTTTTCCCAGTCTGCTCTGTGGCCTGAACACTTTGGTGGGAACCAGCCCTGGGTATGAATCCTGGCTGTGCCTCTGAACTGGCCCAGGCATCTCTGCGATGGCTTTGTTGTGAAGGCTTTGTTGGCGGTGCGCTGATCGGGTGGGAGGTGTGGGGTGGGGGAACACAGGGCAGGCAGGGCAGGACCTTTCTCTGACTGGTGATGGAGTAGGGGAAGCCAGATACGATGCCTGCCTCAATGGCCAACAGGGCTAAAGAGGGCTCTGTGGGGGTGGGGTTCAGGGCAGAAGGGCAGCTTGGATATGTTGGGTGCTATAGACGGCAGGAGCTGGGGCCTGGGTAAGCAAGATAGGGCTCTGGGGAGTTGAGGAACTGGTGGCTTCTATCCTGCCTCTTTGTTTGAACCTCGTCAGGGTTAGGAGGCAGGGACCTGGTCCTTCAGAGGGTCCACCTCACTCCCCACTTCCTGTGCCCCTCCATTGCCACCACTTCAAGGTCCTTAGACAGGTCCTTGGGAAGGAGCTCTGTCAAGGAGAGTGGACAGCATGGCTCCTGTAGTCTGCTGGGCCTCACCTCTCTCCTGGCAACCCCCCACTCCCTGCAGGGTCTCGGTGGCTGAGCTGCAGACCCACCTGGAGCTGGATACGGATGGGGATGGGGTCCTCTCAGAAGGGGAAGCGCAGGTACTCCCACCGTGCCCTCTGCCTTGGACTTCTAGAGAAGGTGGTCTCCAGGGTGACCTCAGGGCAGGGAGTCGGGGAGAGGCTGCTCTCTTAAAAAGCTTGCCCCTGGCTGCAGGCCTGGAGCTGCTGGGGGACCCAGCTGTGGTCTCCATTCGTACCTGAGAGAGCCCAGAGAGCAACCACCCAGGGCAGCTTCACAAAGGCCTGTGGGACGAGGGGCGTCTTCAGGCGTCTTCTCACGAGAGGGCATGTGCCTCTGGCTTCCCCTCTTTCCTGGGCCTTGCTGGTAGATTCCCACTGTCCACCCTGCCATGACCAGTCCCAACCCAGTCTCTCTTCCTGGAGGAGTGGCTCTCCCTCTCGTGTCTCTCGTGTCTCTCGTGTCTCTCGTGTCTCTCGTGTCTCTCTCGTGTCTCTGGTGGCTGCCTCTTCCTGGGCTTCTCAGGCTCTTCCTCACCTGGCTCAGCTCAGGTCTCAGCCGCAGGACTTGGCCCAGCTGGGCTTCCTGGGGTGGGGGGTCCAGTATGCCTGTGCCTGGCACTGAAGCCTCAGAGCCGCCCCCCCCCCCCCATCACCTGATACCTGGAGCGGAGGTGGGGGGACCTGCAAGTCCTGGTTCTGACACCACTCCCCAACCACACAGGCCCTCCTTGCGGGGGACTCACAAACGGATGTCACCACCTTTTATGACCGTGTCTGGGTTACCATCAGAGACAAGTACCGGTCAGAGGTCAGTGATGGAGGGGCAGCTGTGGCCCTGGCCTCCCCAGACACCCTGCATAGAGGCCTTCCACTCAGCTGTCCATCTCCCTCCCTCCCGGCCCCCTGACACCACTGCCCACCAGGTGCTGCCCACTGACCTGCCAGCACCTTCTGATGACCTGACGGAACCCAAGGAGGAGCAGCCACCTCCAGAGTCTTCACCCCCCGCTGGTGAGGAGGAGGAGGAGGAGGAAGAAGAGGCGGAGGAGGAGGAAGAAGAGGAGGAAGAGGCCGAGGTGCAGGGAGAGTTGTCCAAGGTGTGTGGGGGCATTGGCAGCTGCTGGGGCCGGGGGTAGAAGTTACTTGCTGACTCTTCCTCTCCTCCAGGAGACCCTGCCCCTTCAGGTGCCCCCCCAGACAGCCAGCTCCACTGAGGAGGACAAGCTGCCACCCTATGATGAGCAGACACAGGCTTTTATCGATGGTGAGGTTTGGGGGTGGGCCAGGCACTTTCTGCTCTCTCCTGTTCGAGCACCTGCTTGACCCCCCCAACCCCATTGGGGTCCCAGCCTATGCCCCACCAGTGCCTGCTATGGGCCTAGTGGCTGGGGGACTCGTGGAGAAGCCCGGGGAACCTCCTGCCTCCCCATGGGGCAGCTGTTTGTTTGTGCCACCCCTGGCGGGCAGGGAGCCAGCTGGAGCCCTGGCCTCGTTCCCTGCAGAGCCCAGAGCCTCCTGCTGAGTGGGGTCTGCCCCAGGCTGGCAAGGACCCATCAGGGCTCCTGGGGCGCAGACCTTGGTGGGGGGGCTGTGTGTCTTGCCCCTTTGACCTCCCAGTCCTGCCCCCAGCTGCCCAGGAGGCCCGTACTAAGTTTGAGGAGGCCGAACGATCCTTGAGGGACATGGAGGAGTCCATCAGGTACTGGGGGCCCTGACCCCCCCCCCCCCAGCCCTGCTGCCAGGCTCCCCAGGGGAGGTGGTAATTGGGAGTTGCCCAGGTGACAGGAGCAGCCAGGTGGTGGCTCCCATGGGAGGGTGTCCGGGTGGGAGCCCAGGCTCCAGGACTGCTGGCTGAGGCCCGGGTCCCTTCTGTGTACGTGTGTGTCTGTCTGTCTGTCTGACTCCCCCTCACCCCTGTGACTTGCCCTCCAGGAACCTGGAGCAGGAGATCACCTTTGACTTTGGCCCCAGCGGGGAGTTTGCCTACCTTTATAGTCAGTGCTATGAGCTCTCCACCAGCGAGTACGTGCTGGGGCCCAGGGGGCGGGGGGCGGGGCGGCTCTGGAGGGTGAGCCCCACCTCTCCGCATGTCTCCCTGCCCACCAGCCCTATCCCATGACAGGTACATCTACCGACTCTGCCCCTTCAAGCTCGTCTCCCAAAAACCCAAACTTGGAGGCTCCCCAACCAACCTTGGGTGAGTGGGCCTGGGCTTGGTCCCCCTTCCCTCTGCCCCCAGCCACCCCCACCCCGGCCAACCTCTAGCACCTTCTTTTCGGCAGCACGTGGGGCTCCTGGGCCGGCCCCGAACACGACAAATTCAGCGCCATGAAGTACGAACAGGGCACGGGCTGTTGGCAGGGTCCCAATCGCTCCACCACTGTACGTGCCTGATGGGTGGGGTGAGGAAGGGGTGCCCGAGCCCACCTAAGGCCTCCTGTCCTGCCCAGGTGCGACTCCTGTGTGGGAAGGAGACAGTGGTGACCAGCACCACAGAGCCCAGCCGCTGTGAGTACCTCATGGAACTGATAACGCCCGCCGCCTGCACTGAGCCGCCCCCTGAGCCACCCGTAGATGGGGACCATGATGAGCTCTAGCCAGCTCCGGCCAGCCGGTGCCCAGGTAGTGTGCATGGGGGCATCTCTCAGCCTTGGCAGCTCTGCATCCCTCTGCCTCCCTCCTGCTCATCTGGTCTGTTTCTTGCCCCAGAACCTCAAGGCCTGACCCAGCCCTCAGTCTGTGGACCAGGCAGTTCCCCTGGTGGTCCACCTCGTGAAGTGAAGGGGAGACAGGAACAATGGGGTTTGTGCCCAGCTCTTGGGGGGCAGTGGGCAGGGCTGAGCTACAGCCCCTGGCTCAAGTGGCCTCCAAAGACGGAATGAAGGAGCCTAGTGCCCCCTCCACCCAACAGCTCACCCCTGCTGCTCCCCTCCCCTGGGGAGTTTGCTTCCCCTCCTGGTGAGGGGGTGAGTGATTTGCCCTGTGACCTGGAAACAATAAATGTGGTAGCCCCCAGTTGTCTGTGCCTTTCTTTACTTGCATGAGAGCTGGGGTTGGGGTGGGAAACTGGGGAAGAGGCGCCCTGTGGGCCTTCTCCGCATTGACCCAGCACCACAGCTGGGGACTCCCACAAATGACCTAGGTGGAAGTCCAGCTCCACCACTTCCATCTGGGTTCTGCTGGAACCTGTCACTTGCCCTCTATGAATCTGTGCTGTAAGGAGGCCTGTGGGCCCTCCCGGCACCAAGCCTGCCTCCAGACTAGACTGAGACCCAGAGAGGGACAGCAACTTGATTGGGACACACAGACCCACAAGCAGCACAAACACCCAAAGAGCTGTAAGATTCTGAACTTTTATTTTCTGGCATGAAAAGTACAAATAATTAAACAATTCCATGTAAAAGTCTGTTACCGTGGCCAGGCCTGTAATCCCGGTAATAAATAGTCTAAACGCAACGCAGTGTTCTTGTTCGTTTTTTTTGTCTTTTTTTGTAGTTTTTTTTTTTTTTTAATCACCTCCAACATGGACTCTGTCGTGACTTAGAACCTTCCAAATAAATAACAGGATGAAGGGAGGGCTGGAGGGGCTGAGCCCCCTCCCCAGGAGCCCTGGCCCAGCCTGCCACTGGGGAGAGGGGCTGGCCTCCAGGGAGGGGACCTGGCTGGGCTGAGTTCTGTGTTTTAGAAAAAGATGTCCCCTCCTCTTCTTGGAGGGGGCGGGGCTGGCAGGGACCTAGGCCTTGGTGAGGGGGTGGGGTGTGCCCCCTCTCCAGAGCCTAGCCCCCCCCCCCCAGGGTAGGGGACAAACCCAGCCCTTATTGCTCACAAACGCCTCGGGCACGCTTCCCACATGGGCACACGTGTTGGCGCAGAGGCCGGAGGGGGAAAGCCCCAAGAAACAGCAGGTAAGAGGAGGGACCCCTGGGGGCTCCTGCCCTGCTGGAGGGAGAAGGGTAGGGGGACTCAAAACCACAAGAATAAATAGGTTTGTGTATCAAGAACAAGCTAGGGTCGTCACCAGCTAAATAGGACTGAAAAAATTCTCAAGACAAGAGCAAAAATTATTCCATCGAGACCTGGACATCACTGGCCATGGGCGCAGGGCACTAGCCCTGGGTGCCGCTTGGCTACCTTTACTGTTAATAATTATTATTTAATGATTCCACTTCCCCTTTTATAAATAAATTAGGCATAACCACGTCTCGGCAAAAAACTGAAAGAAAAAGAACAGCATCGTTCCTTAACTTGCAAACTGGATGTAGTAACAGAAATATACACAAATGTCCTTACAACAGGGATAATAAATAGTTAACATAGCAATAAGTTAAAACTACAAGAAGCTAAATTCGGCAAAAAAGTACAAGAAAGTTAACTGGTGCCATTTTCTTTTTTTTTTTTTTTTTTTTTTTTAATCTCTTCTGTGTATTTTTTCTTTTTTTTTGTCACTTTTTCTCTTCTGTTTGTGTTTTTTAGTCTCTTTTTTGATTTTTTTTGTTTTTCTTTTTGTTCCTTGCAGCAGAAGCTCCACAGACGTTTAATACAAACACCAGGAGGGGTAGGGGTGGGGGAGAGAGAGCTGGACAGTCAGATGGGGCCACGGCCGAACACCAAACGCTGGGACACAGGGTGAGGGTAGGGGGAGGGGAAGGCAACGAAGCTAACGTCGGGGTATGCAATTCTCAGTTCTGACTGGGCCCCACTGAGGACTCCCGGGTGTGTGTAGGTCCGGGAGGACTCCGGCCGGCCTCTGGCTTCTGTCGGAAATCTTTTAAAAGAATGAAAACTAGGGGAATGTAAAACTCAGAAGCCTTAGCTGGGGCCAATCTCGGGATGGGGGTTGCATCCAATGCCCTCACCAATCTTTAAAGATGGAAAACCCAACAAACCAAAAACAGGTGACAAGTGGGCTGGGGGGAGTGCGGGGCAAGGGCCCCTGGGCCCGTCCACCCTGGGACTGGCGGGCATGGTGGGTGCTTGCTGAGGGGGAGGCTCAGGGTCGGGCCATGGCCTCGCCCAGGGAGGCTCAGCCCCAGGGACAGAGGGTCCTTTGGCCTCAAGTGTTAGGGGGTCCGGGGGGGACTGCTCCCAGCCCATCCTGACGCCAAAGTGGAACGAGGTATTGTGTGTCTGAATGCGTGGACGCTGGGTGTGCACGCCTGTGTTCAAGGGCGGCAGGGAGACCGTTGATGATTCAGGAGAGAATTCTGCAGAGAACCTGGGGCAGGGGCGGTGACCAAGGCTGGCCAGCCCAGCAGGAGAAAGTAGAGGGGCAGGGTAGATAGAGGAACCTCTCGTCTGGGCCTGATGCTGTGGGCATGTCTGTGTGTGCCTAGGTGTTGTGTCTGTGTGTTCACATGCACCCGTCTCCACGTTCACGTCCATCTGTGTCCACATGTGTCCATGTGCACACCCTCCTCCTCCACTTCTCTCTGATGTTCAAGGCCCCGTGTCTGGGTGGGTGGGGGGCAGTGATTACTAAATGTGTCTGGGGAATGTCTGTTTTTCGGTGCTGCTGTGTATCCCTAGGGGTGTGAGTGTGGTCCCTGCGTGCTTTGCGTGGCTGTAGTCTAGTGTGTGGCCCGGTGGACCCGTTCCCTAAGCCCTGCTCCCTGCCCCCTGCCCCAGTTGGTAAACATAACCTGCCAAAATATTTTCTGGTTTTTTGTGTGGTTTTTTTTTTGTGGTTTTTTGTTTTTTGTTTTTTTTGTCTTTTTTTTTTTTTTCAAGTTCAAGAATCCCCAGTAAAAATTCTCCACGAGGTCTTTTACCCTTTTTACAAAAATAGAGTTTTCTTCCCCTCCCACCCACCCCCTTTTTTTTTGACATTTTGTTTCTGCTCCCAGCCCCTACCTTTCTCCCTACCCTCACGGGGAGGCTCTGGCCAACAATGACCACACCTCCTCACGTTTCTCTTGGTTGGGGATTTTTAAACCTGTTCCCCCTCTCCAGGCCCTCCGAGATGTTGGGGACCTGGTTAAGGGTTCCTAAGGGGAAACCCTAGTACCTCCCAAGTCCCCCATGGAGGGTGTTTGAGGGTGGGGTAGGAGCACATCTCTGCTTTCTTTTTAGCCGAAAAAAGAAACAAAAACCTTCGCCATGAACAAAACTAAGACGAGAGAGTGAACAGCCCAGCCTGGGGTAGGGGCAGGAGATAGGGACCCCCATTCCCTGCAGACCCTCCCGGCCCTGCATGCTCACCCTGTGGCTTCTGCAGGGACGTAGGGCTCACGTCATCCGTGGTCTGCCTGCGCTGTCTCTCTCTCTCTCTCTCTCTCTCTCTGCTGCCCGGGGAGGGGTGGGGAGGGCGGCGGCGGCTGTGGCTCAGGCCTTGTGCTGTTTACTCGTCTTGAAGGAGACCTGCAGCACTCGTTCGCCCAGGCGGTAGCCGTTGAGGCTGGCGATGGCCATGGCCGCCTCGTCGTAGTTGGTCATGGTGACAAAGCCAAAGCCCTTGCACTTGTTTGTGGTGAAATCTCGGATAACCTTGACGTTGGTGACTGCTCCAAAGGGCCCGAACAGCTGCCACAGCACACTCTCATCCGCCTCCGGTGACAGATTATACACGAAGATGCACCAGCCAGCACCTGCCGCGCCGCCGGACAGACCCACGCCTGCGAGGCCGCTCATGCCGTCGATGGCGATGGGCGAGAACCTGGCGATGAGCGACAGGGGACTACTTTGGGGGTCACGCGGGTTCTGCCCTGACCCCCAGCATGTCCCCGACCAAATTGTGACCCTGCGACCCTCCATGCATGTCATGGCTTTGGGATTGTGTGGCCTTTGCATTGTCCTGGCCCTACCGTGGCTCTGTGATTCTTGCCTCCCTATTCCTGACTTCATTATCTCCATCGTCTCCTGGCCTGACCTCCAACCTTCGTTGGACCCTTGTCCCAGCCCACGATCCTGACCTGAGCCCGGATCTACACCTTGACCCCGTGACCTACCAGGGTTGCTATCCCCTCCCAGGGCCTTCACCCGGTCCCCCTTCTCTGTGTATCTCCTGCCCTTGCCCAAGTGGATCTCGCCTTGACCCTGCCCTTACCAACCCTGTTCCCATTGCCCCACTGGCCACCTTGACTGACAGCCCCCTCCCTAGGTGGTTGAAACTCCATCCTAGAAGAGCGGGGGAGATGGACAAGAGCAAAGTAACTCCCACCTGCTATTCAGATCACCTCTCAGGGTAAGCCCTGAAAATGAGAACCACCTCATTCCTCTGCCCATCACTGGCCTTGTCCCACTCAAAGCCGAGAGCCAGTACACTTGGCTCCTTCCATCTCCAAGTACAGCACTAGGCAGACACACAGTAGGCACTCAGGTCTTTGTTGAGTGAATGAATTAATGAAAGGACCACGTTGAATTTCTGGCCACATTCCTTGCAGGCTCCCAGCCCCACAGGACAAAACCACTTCCAGCTGGTGGGAACCATTGGACCTTGACCACCCAGAGCTAACTGCTTATTCCTTCCTCCCAACCTTTGCATGGACTGTTTCCATGGTCAGGAGCTCTTTGCCTGGTCTACCCCTGGTCCCCAGGCCTCACATGGCTCGGGGTCTCCACCGACCTTTACAGCCCCATTACTTTTTCTCTGGCCTTCCCCACTAGTCAGGAATCATTAATAATAACAACAACATTAGCAATAGTGGCGGCTTTTATTGAGTGCCCACTATGTGCCCAGCACTGAGCTGAGGCAAGCAGTGTTCACGTCAGTCATTGAACGTGCACGGGGACTGGGCCATGCGGGAGCCCCAGCCCCACACCAAGTGCTGGCACACAGCACGCACTCAACAGCTCAATAAACAGGGTTGGTCATAAGGTCAGGGGCACAGACAATGAGGACAGGGACCTCGGTCCACCCCTGACCCCTGGGGGAGGGGTCATTCTGTGACTCTCAGCTAAGACGGCCAACAGTGGGGGGAGGAACTTAGAGATGGACTAGGAGACCCTGAGGGTGGCACCCTTGCCTGAACTAGGGTGAAAAAGAGAATGGGGAGGTTCAAGTCCCTGCCCCTGTCTTGGGAACTCTTCCAGCGCCCAGGTCTGCTACGTCTGTTGCTCCCACAATGGGTCTGCAACCACAGTTTTCCAGGGCCGAGACAGAGACCAAGTCACAAAGAGAAGAGCCAAATCTCACAACAAGCTGTTCTCAAGCTACACTAGGTGATCCTGAGGTTGGGGGTGTACCAGTGCACTGCCCGAGGAGGGACTTGGGGCAGGGGGCGGGGGCACTGTTACCTCTTGACTCCGTAGGCCATGTTGAGCAGATTGTCCAGCCTGTAGAGGCAGAAGGAGTGGTCAGGGGAGGCCCGGGTCCCACCTCGAGGCGGTGACGCTGGCAGCCTGCCTTCCCCACCCCCACTCACAGGCCTGCTGTAGCGCCCTGCCCCCGCCCGCCCGCCCGCAGCTCCCGGCTGGACACCGCCTGGCACGACCCGCTCTTGGCACTGCCTCTTGCCCTGCGCTGCCTCGGCCCCTCATCCTCCCCCCTCCGCCTGCGGGCTCATCCTATCTGAATCCAAGGGCCAACCTCTCTGGGTGGATAATTTAATTCCCAACAAAGACGACAGTAATGCCACAGCCAACTCTCTCAGAGCACTTGACAGGGGGCTAAGAAGTGAAGCTCCATGTGGCTGCCAAGACTGCCCCTATTCTGAGTGCTGAGAGCCTGACCCAGGATTCTGGGTTCAAGTCTTTACTGTGTCTGGGACTCTCCATTCCTCGGGGTTCTCGCCTGTATGTGGGGAGGGGACAGAGGGGCAGGGGAGAAGAAAAGCTGTGTTTTCCTTAGGCTTTTGTGCAGAGCACACAGTGAGTCAGTTCTGCCAATTGGCAACCCCAGGTGTTACAGAGCAGATTTATTCCAGAAGGCTTCCTTGGCCCACTGGGTTGAGCTTGAACCTCCAACCTTCAGGTTCATAGCTAAGTGGCAACTGTTTGTATCACCGCAGGACGTTTCGTTGTTAAGTGCCCTCGAGCTGGTTCTGACTCGTAGTGACCACACAGAAAATACTCATGAGGTGATTGGTACAAATGAGGAATCTAAGATATCAGTTAGTCATGCACCAGCGAGAAGGGCAGCCAAGTCTAGATCCTAATCGGGAAACTCCAAAACCCTTATAGAGTCCCAGTGTGGCGCTGTGGGTTAATGCGTTGGACTGCAAGGTTGGTTTGAACCACAAGATCAGTGGTTCAAGCTCCTCGGAAATTTTATACATTTGAAATTTGACTCAATGGCCCTTAACAACAACACCCTAAATGGGCCAGCACACCTTGAGCAGCTGCTAGATTCTCAGCATCCACCCACTTCCCCTTTGCTGCCCTCAGCAGCTCTAGCATGTGAGCATGTCCTGCACCCATCCACCCTGCAGGAATAGTGGTTCAGAAGGGCAGCTGCTTCAGGGGACCTCGGGGGTGGCTCACCGGAAGCGCTGCGTCTGGTGGTGCAAGGGGCCTGCGTAGCGCCGGGCGGACGACTGGTAGAGGTGAGTGAGCAGGGCCTGCCCCGTCTTCTGACTCGGGTTGTTGGCAAACTTGACCGTGATGGGCTCGGCTGCGCCCAGTGGCTTCTGCCCATTCAGTCCTTTGATGGCCTCCTCAGCCTCAATCCTCTTGTCAAAGCGGATGAAGCCCACACCCCGAGACACACCTGCCAGCAGTGAGGTGGCCATGAGGACACTGCCCTCTCCCGTGTAACTCCCTCACCCACTTATTGCCCGGGCCTCTCAGGTGTCTCCCTTTGGGTCCTGACTCTGCCCTTCAGCCCTTGAGGTCCCTCCTGGCAGGCTAACCTGTGACCTGATCCACCAGGATACGTGAGGTGATTATTCGGCCATACTGGGAGAAGAGCTGCTCCATCTCCTTCTGGCTCATGGTCTTGGGGAGCCCACTGACATACAGGTTGGCGTCCCGGATGGACGCGGAGCTGGGTCTGGCATAGGACACCTGGGAGGGGTGTAGTGGACAGGGGTGAGGGGAATGCCCATTCCACAGATGGGGAGAATGAGGCCACATCCAAAGCACTGTGGAGACAACAGAGATGCCTCATTCATCCACATATCAAACTCCTCCTACTTCCTGAGTGACCACCAGGGCATGACAACATGTCCTGCATGCACCAAGTATATGCTCAGCCCACACTCTCTGGCTCCAAAGTCCACACACAGCCATGTTATAACTCCTGTGGAAAGTGGGCCAGACCCGTGGGCCCCTCTGTCTTCTGACTTATCCATGGCCCCTGGGGGACACACAGACCGACTCAAACCTTGAACCACCAATTTCTTGCCGACAAATCCCAGCTGTCGGTCCTCAAAGAGTGGGCCTTGTCCCCGAGCTGTACACTCAAGTGACTCCTGCCTCTCCCTGCCCCACATGGGGTCTCTTGGGCACCACACGCTCGCTTGGTATGACTCAGTCAGGGCCTTGAAGCTTTGGTCTTCCACAACACAAATCCAGTTGCCTCTAGAATCTGGCACTTCTCCCCACGCCCATGACCTTGAAGTTGGTCCGACCATCTTCTGTCTGGACCTGTGAGCAGTTGCCTCCATCCTGGTCCCCAGAGGCCAGAGTGAGCACCTGAATCAGGGAAACTTCCCACTGCTCACAACCCTCCACCTCACTCAAAGCAAGAGCCCAACTTTCCCTGTGGGCCTCCTCCAGACCCTGCGCCACCTGTCTGTCACCTCTACGCCCTCTTCTTGCCCCTCTCCCCGCTGGCTCACTCAGCTCCAGACAAACACCTCAGGGCCTTTGCACTGACGGTTTCCTCTGCCTGGGATTCTCTTCCTCCATTTCCCACTTCATCTTGGGATTGAATCACCCCCTGGTCTCTCCTGTCTAAATGTGTACCCCCTTCCCTTCCTCTCTCTCCATGCATTGCTCTCCGTTGTGAATCGATTCCTGTCATTTATAAGGGCCCAGTCCAACAATGGAGCTGGACCCTTATAAATAGTTCTCTGCAGCTGTTTAGAAAATGGTGGACATGTAGAGTTGTCTTCCGGAAACAGTGGTGAGTATTGTGAACTGAGAGAAAGAAAAGTCCATTTATAAAGCCACGTGTATATGTGACCCCCATCTCATTATGTGTTTATAAATGTCCTGAAAAAAAAAAAAAAAAAGGTTGGCGGGACCTGCTCCTAAATGCCAACAGGGTGACCCATAGCCGGGGGGTGGGATAAGCACCTCCCTCCTTTTTCTGCAAGTATCTATGTTCTGTCTTGTTGTTATTGTTTAATTAACCTCTGGGCTGACAGAGCTCATTGTCAAGAGTTGGGCTTTTGTTCAGGGTGGTGAGTTGTGAGGGTATATGACTCTATTAGAAATAACTAGTTAAAAAAGGAACCAGGCGGGCTGGGTGTGGATGGAGCTGAGGGTTCTCATGGGTGGGGGGCTATGACTGGTGTGTACCTGGGGTCCTTTGGAAAAAAATCACAAATACAAGAGCTGCTACTATTTTTGGAATTAAAAAATTATGGCCATGAATATGATGGGGTTCTCTTTCCTGGACTGAGCTGTGAGGGAGGGGTCAGATTTGGGGTAAGTGTCTGGGGCCTGGGAGCAGCTGAGGCACAAAGGTGGTCACAGGACAGTTTCCTCAGCAGTGGGCTGTTCTGGAGGTGAGTCCTACACTTAAGTGTGGCCACCCGGCCCCAAGCCACACAGGCAGAATTCCTCCTGTGAGGCCTGACACACGGTGAGGCAACTGGAATCTGCTAGACCCCCAGTTGAGACCAACCATACAGCACAGTCATGCAGCCAGAAACCAACACTCAAGGCCACAGTGCACATCACAGCCGGGAGCCACGGAGACATGGAGCACCAGGAGGTAACACAAGGCCATGCCACATCACAGTGACATCTGGGGTCTTACATAATGACAGGAAGAGCTGCAGAACAGTACACCTGCCCCGCCACCACACAGGTGCACATTCCACCCCAATAGTTAGACACACCCACACAACTTTTCCCATGCCACGCAGACACCTCACTATTGCCAGACATACCACATAGCCCTGCCATGTCCCAGCATGAGTTACACGGTGTCACAGAGAGTCTGTCAAATCAACACCATGCTCCACGAATACAGCCACCATGTCACAGCTGAAGTCACAGTGTCACAAAACAGTCTCAGAGCCCAAGTGACACCCAGTCTTACAATACCCACCCTGCAGTGCACACACACACACACACACACACACACACACACACACAACTATGACCACCTCCTGGGTCTAGTTGGTCATACAGGGGGCTCATCGGGTCACAGTATCATTCCACCTCCATGTCAGGGTGAGGAACAGATTCCTAGACCTCTTCTTGTTCCCATGGTGAACTGGGGCCAGATGGGTGCTCTGCCCCTCCCCCAGCTTCCCCTGGGGTCCAGAAGCAGATTTGCCGGTGGAGCCCACATCCCCCCAGGCAAACCTAGAGAGGGGGGGTTTCCATGGTGACCCCCCCCCAGGGAACTTGGGCCTGCAGGGTCCCAGCTGCAGTTACTGTAAGGGGAGGGTGTGTTGCACAAAGGTGGGCCCTCCCCACCAACACTACCCTACCAGACCCTAATTAGACTCCAGATGGCAGATGGGCCCCACCCCCTCCATTTCCATGACAAAGACAGGGAGGAGGCTACACACTGGACCCTGGTCACTCCTTCTGTTGCTGCCTACTCCCTCTAGGACCAGTAGACTAGGAGGCTACAGAGAACAGGGAGGAAGGGCTGTTACTCTCCTGGCTGACAGGTGAGGATACAGGTTCAGAGAGGTTAACCCACTGGCCGGCCCCAGGAGGAAGACAAGCAGTGGGAAGGATGCTGGTGGTGATGTACTGTGGAGTCGGTTCTGACTTTATAGTGACCCTGTTCAGGGTTTCCGAGGCTGGAAATCATTACTGGAATAGAAAGCCTCTTCTTTCTCCCGCGGAACAGCTGGGAGTTTCGAATTGCTGACCTTGAGGCTCGCAGCCCGATATGTAACCACTTGGCTACCAGAGCTAAGGCTTGGGGTAGAAATACAGGAAGAGGGGTGGTAGATGGGGCTGGGTGTCCAGGGGCATGACAGCACTAACCTTGATGGTCTTGGTCTGCAATTTGAGGCCGTTGAGGGTGTTGATGGCTTTGTCAGCATCATTGGGGTCAGAATAGTTCACAAACCCATAGCCGAGGCTCTGCCCTGTAGGTAGGACCAGGACAATTTCCCATTCAGATCCCAAACTGGGCAGTGTCCTCCCAAACCCATTTATGAAAGGCTGACTTTCTTCAAGGTTATGAGAACCAAGAGCCCACCCTTACCTGCTCCTTCACAGTTTTATCTTCTCCCTGAAATTTTAGACCCGTCCCAGACTCCTACCTGCCCCCATAGCCTAGGGCCCTCATGACCTAAGGTTATTTCTGTCTCTTTATCACACCTCAGGTCCCCAAAAGTCCCACTTGTCCCCATCAATTTCCCCACCTAGAATAACACCTGTCTGCCTCTCTTATCTCGGATCCCCAGAGTCCTATCTACCCCCATCACACCTATACTCTGGGGGCTTTTGTTGTTGTTGTTAAGTGCCATTGAGTGGATTCCAGCCCATAATGACCCTGTATAGTGTTTCCAAGGAGCAGCTGGTGAGTTTGAACCACAGATCTTGCAGTTCAAACCACAGACTTTGCAGTGTGACGCATTAGCCCACAGCGCCACACCAGGACTCCCTTTGGGCTATGGAGGGACATTTTATTGTATTTTAGGTGAAAGTTTATGAATCAATTTTCCATTCAGTAATTTATGTACGAACTGTTCTGTGGCACTGATTGCTGACGTCAGCAAAGCATCAGCACTCTTCCCTTTTCCAGCCTGCCTTTCCCGTATATCTCCAAGTTCCCTGCCCCACCCACCTTGCCTTCTCATCTTTGCTTTTGGGCAAATGCTGACTGTTTGGTCTGGTCTTATTGATTGCCTTAAGGAGCACATTCCACACAGGTGTCATTGTTTAGTTTACCAGCCTCAGGTCTGTCCCTCACTCCTGCCCCACCCCACCCCACCCACCCACCAGTAGCCACACCTGTGATCTTGTCTCGCACCAACTTGCAGGACTCGATGTCGCCAATGCTGCCAAAGAGACTCTTGAACTCATCCTGGGTCATGTTCTGGGGCAGGTAGTTGACAATGAGGTTGGTCTTGCTGTCATCAGTGGCTCCGTTTGTACCAAGGAGTGGCCCGTTGGGCAGGGCCGGGCCTGCCGGGCCCCCCGCCACCTGAGACTCCATGGCCCCGAGTATCTGCTGGAGACAACAGGCCGCACCCGCTCACCTGGGCCCAGTTCCCATCTCAGGGCCACCAGAAATGAGGAGGGCCTTAATAGCGATCAACTAACCCTGTTTGTCATGGGCTTGAACACTGTGAGAGGACAGTGTATTTTTTTGGCATCCGTTGCATGTTAAGCATCTTTTCAGGGAAGAAACCCAACCCAACCCTGATGACCTACCTCCTAAAGTTAGTTAATGAAAGCCCTATGAATCATAACAGGATCTTGCCCAACATAGTGTTGGGGGACTCGGTTGTGGCATTGTAGGATCAGCACTGGATTTCAAACCACAAGGTCGACAGTTCAAACCCACCAGCTGCTCCTTGTAAATCCTATACAGGGCCACTATGAGTTGGAACCAACTTAATGGCACTTAACAGCAACAGTGCTGGGAGATGAGCCCCAGGGTTGGATGACACTCAAAATACACAGCAGACGCAACAATGGACCCTACTGGAGCACATCATGATTATGAAGGTAGTAGTTTCCTTCTGTTGTACATGGGGTAGCCATGAGTCAGATCCAACTTGATGGCAATGAACAACACCCATGTTGAGGACTGGAAAAAGCACCTTACATGTGATTATTGTGAAAAGTTTCTTACATAAATACCATAATATGCAAACGGATGACTAGAACCTTTCTTCCTCTTCAGTGTTGTGGAGTCGGTTCCCACACAAAGCAATCTTATATAGGATTTCCAAGGAGCGTCGGGTGAGTTTGAATGGCCAACTTTGTGATTCAAATCTACCTTGAAATTAAATGCTTATCCTATAGCGCCACACCAGGACTCCAAAACCTATCTTACAGAATAATAAAATGAATACTTGTGTCTTCAGCGTAAGAAATATAGATTAAAAACAATTTTTTTTTTTTTAAATGGAGTTCTTCTGAGTTTCTGTTTACAGTGATGGAAAAATCATGTTGATTAAGGGTAGTTTTGGCAAAGCTAGTTAATGCTATCAATAAATTGTTGTTAGTTGTTAAATATCACTGAGTTCAGTTCCGATTCATAGTCATCCCATGTAGGGTTTCTGCGTCGGGACTGTTGGATTTGAATCACCGACCTTGCGGTGATGGACAAGTTCAAATCAACACTGCAGTTGAGGCCTCATCCTATAGAACCACTCCAGGAATCCATCAATAAACTGTCTACCTGTAAAATGTTGCATAGGCGTGTGATAGATGTATTTACAACAATGAAAGGAAAGAAGGAAGCTACAGAGACTGCTCATGTATGCCCAATTATCTATTCGGATTTGGTTCCTTAATTTTACAATTTAGGGTTATGGTTTCATGGACTTCCTAGTCAGTTGGCCTAATAGTGTTTAATGGTGCCTGGGGTCTTAAGGCTTGCCAAAAGCCATCTAAGGAACAACAATTGATCTATATTTGCCTGGAGGAATGGAAGAAGGAGTCAAGAATAGGAGGAAGAAATGAATTATGTAGCTAATTGTCTCCAGGAACAACGCCCTCCTTTGCCTCTAGACCAGAAGAACTGGATGGCGTCCGGCTACCATCACTGAACATTTTGATTAAAGATTTTATAGAAGAATCCTCATCAAAAGGGCAGACAAGGCAGAACACAATTTCAAATTCTCATGGATTCCGGACTCTTAACCTTAGAAGCTGGATGAGTCCCTGAATTATTGTCCTAAAATAATCTTTAAACCTTAAACCAAAAATATTCCCTGGAGTCTTCTTCTTTAAACCATAGTTCAACTTAATAGAGAATGTCTGTCTTGAGCAGGATGGTGTTTTAACATCTATCTTGTTGTTGTTATTAAGTGGCATCGAGTTGGTTCCGACCCATAGCGACCCTGACCATCTATCTAAATGGGATTAAATGGACTACCAGAATGAGGAACTCTACACAAGAACCTTAGGAGCAGTGAGTTTATGTGAACTGGGGAGGAACAAATCAGAAAAGGAGAGTAAGAATGGGTGCCCAGCTCAAAGAATGTAATCATTGTCACTGAATTGAACAAGGGGGCTTCAGTTTGTGGGAAAATTCTATTTGCCTTTTTTTTTTTTAATGTTTTATTGTGAATTATGTGATAGTTTACATGGGAGAACATTAGCTTTACATTCATCCTATCATATATCGTTTCATTGCCATGGTTACAATTCCCTCCACGCATCATCAACCAACCAAGGGGTATATACTACAAGCCTGCCCCCTGGTCATCAGCACACAGCCCCTCTCCCTCTCTGTGTCTAAAGTCCCCAGCTGCTCCATCTCTCCACATCATCATCTCTGCCTCCATCTCTGGCATCACTGCTTCTCTGGGTAAAGTCCTGCACTCTGCTCTTCTCCCTTGATGGTCCCAGGGACCTCCGCTTCTAGAGTGCAAAGTCAACCAATCCCCTCCCTCCTTTTGCTACAAAATGTCCACCTTTACATTTCCAGCCCTCATAGTAAGTCCTGATAACAATTATTCACTATTGTATCACAAGAGACCTATCCCCATCTCCTTTCATCATTCCTCCCCCAGACAGATTGGATACTACTCAGTGGAGAGTCTACCTTCCTCCACGCCCTCTGGATCTAGGCTCCCTCTTGAAAGCTTGTAAGCCAGTCACTTCTTGCCTTTGTAGCCCCACCATTTTGGATAGCCAATGTCCAAGTTGCCCATCTCTGTCTACTCTGTGTATGGAGGGGGTGGGAATGATCCTCGCTGTAAGATTTGTTCCCTCTTTTGAGCTACTGCATCCATAGGTGTAGGTCAAGTTTCTATTTGCTTTTAATCCCATTTTTTCTACAAGCTTTTTGAAGGCCCCCCGCATACATATAGAAACTATTGAATTGACGCATGTTCTACTATGTATATTTCTCAAAAAAAAAAAAAAAAAAAATGAAAGAAACTATTTTAAAAGAAATAAAACATTTTCAGTAGCTTAGAAGCCCCTGCAATTCCCTACCTGGTGATATACTTCTCTCCTCCCATTAAAGGTAATTCCTGTCCAAATATTTTATATGTCTTTCAATTCAAGCACAGATTTCCACTAGGTGTTAATTCCCACAACTTTTCCATTGACTTATAGTGGTTGTTCTATGGATAATACGGAGTCCTGGTATGGTGCTGTGGGCAAATGCACTGGACTGGTTTGATCTGCAAGGTCGGTGGTTCAAGCTCATCAGCGGTTCCTTGTAATACCCTATATAGTGTTGCTACGGGTTGGAATTGACTCAACAGTACTTAACAACAATGGATAATATAATGACACCTGCAAATAATGACAGTTTATTTCTTCATCTCCATCTACACCTGTTACTTATTTTTCTTGTCTTATTAGAGTGGCTACAATGTGATAGTAGCTTCCTTACTCCTGACGTTAAAAGAAACGTTTTAAACAATTCACAGTTTAACATGAACTTCGCTACAGTTTTTTTGGGTTTTTTTTTGGTAGGTTACAAACATTTTATTCTTACTATTCTAATAAGATTATTTTCTAAAGGAATGGATGCTGATTTTATTGAATGATTCTATAGCTATTGAAATTCTGTTTTTGCTTTAATAGGCTGGTGCTATGAATTACATGTATTTTATAACATCAAACTAACCTTGCATTTCTAGGATAAACCAAACCTAGTCATGTCATTTTGTTTTTGAATTGATTTGCTGAGTGTTTTTGTTTAGAACTTTTTACATCTATGTTCAGAGAGCATACTGTTTTTTATTTAATTCTCACAAACTCCAAAATGTTATTTTAAGTTTTCTTGTGAAGTTATTGTCTTTTAAACATTGATTACATTAACAGTGATTATGTTCTTTGAGTTATGCAAACATTCTACTTCATGGCCTATCCTGTCCCTGGGCTGTGCTTTGTCCTGAGGGTGCGGTGAGTCCTGTATTTGGCTCTGGTCTCCCTAAGACCAGAATTCCTCACACACCACAAAGAGGCCTGGCACTTTGGGATTTGTTTCACTTTGCTGTAAATTCAAAAGAACTGCCAATGGCTATCTGAGAGGCCAAGCTGAGAAGAATTTGAAAGCCACATCTGGGCTTAGCAGGACACTGTGGAATCCATGACATTAACCTGCACGTGTCCTCCTAGAGCAGAGTAGGCAAAGAGGTTGTTCTCATCTGAAAACTCAAATCAAATGATGAGGTGTGTATAAAGAAGTGTTTGGAAGTTATATTCAGTTTCAGCAGGAAAGACCACTGTGATTGATTAGCAATGTCTGTCATGGCCATAGAATTTAAGCATAGATTTGTTGTTAAGTGCCGTTGAGTTGATTCCGATCCATAGAGACCCTGTATAGGGTTTCCAAGGAGCAGCTGGTGAGCTTGAACTGCTGACCTTGCAGTTCAAACAGCTTTGCAGTCTGGAGCATTAACCCACAGCGCCACACCAGGACTCCATTAAGCATAGCTAGCTGGTACTTTTTTACTTCAGCCAGCCCTGTCTCTATGCCAAGTACTATGCCAAACCTTTTTTTTTTTTTTTTTCTTTATCCCTTTACATGCAGTTTTCCTTTTCTTATTCACAACACTAATAAGAAGAGAAGTTTGGGTTTTTTTTTTTTTTAAACTTTCATTTGAAAAATAAGGAAATTGAGGTTTGAAGATTTTTTTTTTTTAATTGCCAAAGATCATGCTGCATATAAAAAGAATAGGATTTGTACATGAATTTTTCTGACCTGTAGCCTGTATTTAAGGAGCTGTGATGGTACAGTGGTAAAGCACTGGGATGCTAACTGAAAGGTCAGTGGTACAAACTCACCTGTCACTCCATGGTAGAAAAATTAGTCTGTCTGCTCCCCTAAAGATTTATAGTGTCAGAAGCTCTAGAGAGCAGCTCTTCTCTGTCTAGAAGGGAGGGTCACTGTAAGTGGGAACTAAATCAATTTTTGGTTACTGCCAATCAACACTAGCTCCACTTCCACCATTTCCCAGCTGTGTGTCCTCAGATATGCCATTTACTGCTTCTGGGCCTCTGCTCTACTTAGTTACAGACTCCAAATTACTGGCGCAGTGGCCTGGGGAAGAATCTGAAGCCATTCATGGATGCAGCTAGAGAAGTGTTCTGAAATCAGTTAGCAATGTCTGCCATGGACACTGTCATAGGAAATAAAAATTGGCCTATCATGTCATAATACTGCATAATGGAGCTTTGGGAGCGTAGTGGCTATGAGTTGGGCTGGTAACATCAAGGACAGCAGTTCAAAGCTATCAGCAGTTCCACAGGAGAAAGATGAGGCTTTTTGCTCCCATAGAGATTTGTTATTGTTAAGTTCTGTCGAGTCGGTTCCGACC